TATATATATATATATACCTCGCCGGGTGTTACGTTAGCCGGCTGAGTACCGTTAGGGTCGTGGGCGAAGGAGTCGTCCCCAGCCGGTGATGTATTTAACCAAGTAAGGTTATATCTAAATCTAATATACTTCTGGAAGCGAAGACTAGCTCGGGGTCCGGGTGGCGTAACTGGCAAGCGGAGGTTGCGGGTTCAAGCCCCGCCCCGGGCCAGTTCTTTTATTCCAGAATGTTCTAAATTTATTTATTTAATTATTAATTTAATTAAGAGATGGCGCCTAATGCCTACCTCTAATGTCAAATTACTTAGTTCCAATCATTTAAAATAGCCATATTATAGCCCGATAAATTAGGCGATCGTTTGGTGTTGTTATTATCTACTCGGGCTGTGAGTTGATGCTTATATATCCAATGATTATCTTTAAACAAAACACAATGTTGAAACTCAAGTTTCCTGTTGGTTGTTTTGTACATGTGAATGAAAAAGGATGGGTGGATGAAGAAGAGGTAAAGCTATGGCTTGATAATGTATGGAGCAGGCAACCAGGTGGACTTATTCAAAAACATAGTCTACTGGTGTGGGATATATTCAGGGCTCATTTAACTCCCAGCACCAAGCAAAGGCTTGCAAGACTAAACACAGATGCGGCAGTTATTCCTGCAGGATTGACATTGTTGATACAGCCACTGGATGTGTGCCTAAACAAGTCATTTAAAGATCGCATTCGAGAACAGTGGAATGAATGGGTGGTTAGTGGCAAAAAGTTGTTCACAAAAGGAGGTGCTCCACAGTTGGATGTTTTGTGCCAGTTTTTCATAAAAGCCTGGAATGATATTGATGCAGAAACAGTAATCAAGTCTTTCAAGAAGTGTGGCATATCAAATTCATTAGATGGTATGGAGGACAACTACTTGTGACAAGATGAAGAGGAAGCCGAATCTGAGACCACATCATCTGATATGGAATTCAATCCATACGATGACTCCCTTACAAATGTATCACAAGATGTCATTGATGTACTTATGATATCAAATGACGAATGGGAAGATTTTGAAGGCTTTTAAAGGGAAACTGTCATGCCAGCAAAACCTTTAAAAATACTGTAGCTTGCAGTTGTGATGGGTGTTGCTAATTTGCCAGGGACTTTCAAGGCACTTTCTCTCTATTTGTTATCTTCCTCCTATCATCATCAGTTCCAGTTTGGTTGACAGCTTAGAAAACAAACAGCATGGCAGCTCCCATGGGTTTATTGTCTTATCCTTCCTTTTAGCTTTAGAGTGAATTAGGAAAGGTTTAATCCACGTGCACTGTTTTATGTTTACATGTTTGATGACAAACAGCCTTATGTTTATAAGTGACAGTTTACCTGCTAAGTACCTACTATGTACTGTATCTGCATAAGCATTTGAATTAAAATTATCATATTGAAATTAAATCTGATTTTTTTTTGGTGTGCATTGGAAGAGGGGGTAGTCTTATACAGCAAGTATATCCCAAACTCTATATTTTAACTGTAAAAGTTGGGGTCATCTTATACACCAGAAAGTACAGTACAGTCGACCCCTCCCTATAACGCAGTAGATACATTCCACTTTATAAGAATTTCACGTTGTAGGAATCCTTAAATGCATGAGCCAATCACAGCCCGGCACGTGCGCAGTTTACAGACTGCGACTGTTTGAAAGGTTTTCTTCCATAAAATTAATTGATTCTAGACTAATTTGACTCAACATTTCCAAAACACATATAATTTTTTGGGAATAATCCATATAAACTATGCTATAAACAAAAAATTGTAGGATTACTTACTGAGTGTGCACCATTCGACAATGCCATTGCTTAAGCTTGTTTTTGTCGTGGAGCAGTGCACCAAACGGCGGGCACGTTTTTGATAAGTTATTTTTCTGCGAAAAATTCATTGAACTTTGGAGACATCATTAATAGAAATAATTTTTATGGCTGTTGAATAAGAAATGTTTTTTTTTCACAAGAAATGTATAAAATTACAGTACTATACTGTACTGTATTAGACTTACAGTACCTAATTTATATACTGTACAGACGATAGTAAACTCAACTTACTCGCCTAAACTCTCCGTAGTGTGTAAGTAGTTCAGCTGCTCATCCACTTCAGATTCAACCAATGCTGTTGTGACACGAGTTGGCAATGACGTTTTACTGCATTTTATGAGTCTCTTTTAGTGTCTTTATACGAATATGGTTGCAATTTTTTCGCCACGATATACGAATCCACATTATATGAACCCGCATTATAGGGGGGTCTACTGTACTTATAAAGCTCATATTAGTTGAGCTTCATTGTGTAGAATTTTAAGCAATACTTGTTTAGTCATTTTTAATAGGACAATATTATTATTTTATTAATAAGTGTCAAAACACCTTTCTTTTTTTTTTCTAGCAAATTCTTTAATTAGATTTGCTCTGGATGTTTCAAATTTATGTTCCAATTTATATTCTAACTGACGTTCCAATTATGCTTAACCTGAAGAAGGCCATTTAAAATAGATAAAAACATTAGTTCATTTGATTTAATTAAAGAATTTGCTAGAAAAGAGAGATGTTTTGAAACTTATTATACAAAAGTTCTAGCTTACTGCACATAGAATTATTTTATTTAGTGTGTTTATGTAATTTAATGTTACTAATCAAACTTGTGTAAACATCTATTATCATCTCTTGCTGGCATTGATGTTTGCTTGTCCAAACATGATTTGACTGTATGGTAGTTTTTTTCTATAAAATACCATAAATTTAGGAACAGATATTTTTTTTTACTCTACCCTTTATATACATTATGGATACTTTGTCTCCAAATTTAACTCATTTCTTCATTACAATTATTTTGATAGATAATCAGATTTCCTTCAATATTCTTTTAAAATTATATAATGAAAATGATGTGTCTCAAAAATTTAAATAAAGCACATTTATGTTTATTTTCTTAAAAGTAGATTGCTTTTCAGAAAGCATATGGTTAAAATTTATGTAAATAGTATGATACTCAAGGTTAAAATAGTTCATTGTTCTTTGTTTAAATAAATCATTCAATATATGTTGTTAATATAAAAAAAACAGTATGTTGAAATTTGAATTATTTAAATTTAAAATTTACAGAAATGATCTGTTAAAGTTAATTTAAATTATCANTTTAAAACGTTTACTAGTCGATACCTTTTAAAATTTCTTTCTTTGAGATTATTCTCTTATTGATTTTACAATGTAAGGATTAGTTTTCAAGTGTACAAACAACAGCATTATTAACAATTATATATTTGCTAAACAAATCTTGGGAAATCATTTTATTTTCAAAAGAAGGACTGAAATTTTGGTTATTTCTAGAAACAGAAATAATTGAGACTTTGGATGCAGTATTTTATTTTATACCCTTGGTTTCTTTTAACTTAGGTAATTCTTTTAACAAAGAATTAGTATTTTTAATTTTGTTTTTATCATTGTAAATTATTATATTTAAATTTATTATAAAGCAGTTGAATAATTTGAAATATATGTATGATTTGGTGATTATAATTTTTATATTTTAAAAATTTGTAAAATTTTCAGAAATTGCAATGAATCAAAAATGACATAACATTTAATATAAATTATATGATTATCTAAAAGCATTTGATTTCAAATTATTTTATGTAATAATTTAATTTTAAATATTAAATTCAATTTAAATTTTTGACATATTTTATTATTCTGTTTTCTATAAAAAGTTTTTAGATAAAAAAATATTTTTCCTGTGTATATTTATTTACTCTGACAGATGATTGTTTCCACATCTTAATTTGAATGAGTTTGGTGTATTAAATGTATTACATTCTTATCTAAAATTTCATTAAATTTTTGGAAATTAAAAGTGAAGTTTTTTATAATTCATAAAAATATATATATATTTATATATTTTGTTTAAAATTTTTTTTGCATTTTTAATAAACCACATAGGGAAGTGTATTAAAAGTAATTGTTTTATAATATATTTTATATTAATTATTTTATTTTTGAAAATTCTCACATAAAATTTAGGCACACACATATTTGTATTAGGATTTAATTGTTTTAAAAATTTGTTATATACAAATGTTAACTATGTATGATATAAAAGCTGTATTGTTAAAATGTCTTTTACAGTGCTTTTATATAACTGTAATATTTTTAGATTGATTTTTGAAGGAAAATAAAGATATATATTTTAAACTGTGTTTGAGTTTAAAATGCCTGAAATGAAAGGGTAGATACTCAGCACATGTTTAGATGATAAGGTTTTACGGTTATAGCGTAATTGTTAAATTATTATCATATAATAAATTAAGAACTTTTTCAGTTTTAATTAGTAAACACTTAATATTAACAGTTAAAGTTAAAAATACTGTTAATATTTTCAAGAACTAATTATTTTTAAATTTAATGTAATTTCAATTTAATTAAGCAAAATTACAAGACAAAGTTTTAAATATTTTAAAATTAATTTTACAATAAAAACTCTACAAATAACCATAAACCAACTGTTCCTGTGGCTTTATCACAAAAAATCATCATGTTTTAATTACCCTTTACTTTTCTTTCTGGTGAGCAGATAGATCCAGGCAGTCATGTCCGTTTTGACAAGCTTGCTAAGGTATCAGGTATTTTTTATTAATTAAGATTTTTATTAGTTGAAACCAAGTAAAATTACAAGTTTATATGCTATAAACATTAAATTCTGGCAATATATGATACTTTAAATTAGTTGCAGCTTTACTTTTAAAGAAATTTTAATTTAAATGTATAATTGAATATCAGTATACATGCTAATACAAAATAATGAGATTATTAAGGAATTGACAAATCATAAATATGATATATTATTTTAGAAGAATTTTCATGAAGATTAGATGAAATGTATACTTTTTAAAATTTATTCAATGCATCAAAAGTACAGGTATTCATCAAGAAACCATATTTTATAGAAAACAAAAGTACATGAAAATACATAATAATAATAATTCAATATAATATTTTAAAATTTATTTGTTGTTGTTATCTTTGCAAGAAGCATTATGCAAATTACATATGGTACTTTTGGAGTGTTCAAGGTTTAAGTGTTTTGTTTGGTAGAATCAAGATATTCCCAGTATAAATTTTTTACTTTAAATTTTTTTGATAATTTCTGTCAAATATTTACCTACACAAATCAGATTTTTCAAATTATCTGAAATGATGTTTAAGATCACATAATATCACATTTGGTAGGATCAAATCAAATGACCTGAGATGCTCATACAAAATTTTTTAAAATTTGTGAAAAATTAAAAACTATTTTATGTAAAATAGCTATATAAAAATATCTAGAATATTTTCAATTTAGGAATAGGCATTATTTAGAATGTATTATATATTATATTGTTATGTTGCCAAAAGATACCTTGTAAATTCTACTTGGTTTTATCTAAATCCTTTTAAGTTTATTAAAATAATTAGCAGTTAATAAAATTAATTGAAACTATTATTTAAAAGTTTATACCTATTTAATGTTTAGACTGCAGACCTAGCTAATGCTATTGCAAGTGAAGATGAGAAAATAAAAGCAATGATGACACAGTCAAGTCAAGAATATGATGTCTCTAAGTAAGATTATTTATATTTTTATATATGTTATTTCATAAACATGATATTTTAAATTTAATTATTATGAGGGTGATTCAAAAAGTAAGGTAACAAGAGCTCTCATGAGTGTCATATTCCTCCTCTTGTTTGAATTTCTCATTAGGGCAGCAGCAGAAGACCACAGCTATATCACACAGGCATTACATGGCACAAATGTTGTGTCAGATTCTTGTGATATCCTTTTTAAGATGGCTGCTAACAAGGAAATGCATAGTGTGATTCATTTTCTGCATGTAAAGGACAACTCACCAGTAGAAATTCATCATCAACTTGTTGAGGTGTACAGTGGTAATGTCATGTCATGAAAACAAGTGTGAGTTTGGTGCACTGAGTTCGAATTTTCTATGCAATTTTTAGAATGTTTTAGCTCAAAATATTCGGAATCTCACAAACAAATGAATTGTTATGGTGCTTCAAGTGGGAGGTACTTGGAACATCCTCCCTACAGCCCCAACCTGGCACCCTGTGATTTTCATCTCTTCAGACCATTGAAGAAGTATCTGGGTGGTAGGCAATTCCATACCAATATGGAAGTTCAGCAAGCCGTCATGGTGTGGCTGAAGGGACTTCATGCAGATTTCTTCTCTGTCAGTATCAATGCTTTGGTATATCATTAGAATGAATGTTTGGACAAGCATGGTGACTGTGTTGAAAAATAATATGTACCAGTGCCATAATAATCTATATCACTATATCTGCCTGTGAAATAAAATTTGTACAGGAGAGTTCTTGTTTCCTTACTTTTTGAATCACCCTCATACTAATTGAATTTAAAAGTTTTTTCTTGGATATTGTTTAGCATATTAATGAGTATATTATAAAAAATCTAGGAATATTGCTTATTTTGTAAAGTAGGGCAAAAATTTGCATAATTTGTGAAATTATGTGCCTATTTCAAGAATTTGACAATATGCCAAATTCACAAAATTGGCAATTGTCATTGGTTTATCATTGTAGTAATGAATTTGTGTATCATTATTTCTTAAATTTTTTGGCTCTGCACTCTGAGTATTAACAGAACCTTTATTTCATACCTATTGTGTATTTTGGCCAGGTTCACAATAGGGAAACCAGATGGTAAAGGATGGAGCATGATATATCTGGGATGAACTGCCCACAAAAAACTTCTGAAATTATTCAGATTTGATCCAGTCTCAAGAGCAGTAGTTTGATCTTTAACCACTTTGAGGGTGAATTTGGTCATCACACACACACATTTTGGAGAACTTTCCTTTATATATATATNTAATTTTCATGGTTAAAAAACATCTGATACAATAATTGTTATTTAATTTAATGTTATAAACATATCATTTTTTACATTAATGTAAAATTAATGTAAGAATTGATATGTTTATAAGCATTAAAAACTTCATTGATTAAAAATACTTTCTCTCATCTTGCTGATGAAACTAGAACTAAACATAACATCATTGCCATTTATATTACAGTAAGACCCTACTTAATGCAGTGGATGTGTTCCTAGATAACAAAGTGTTGCGAAACAATGTTAAATGAGGCCATTTTAACATAGAGTAAATAGGGATAGGGAAACACATGACCGAAAATAAAAAAATTTTACTTTAATTTTAAGTTATTTTTATATTATTTTGTATAATAAAATTGAATATATGTTAAATAACACATAAACATATGCACACAGAAATGTATAATAATATATTAATTAGCTCATTTTTTGTGACGAAGGTACTGACTTTTCTGAAAATCTTGTTTTTTTGCAATAAAGTCATAAAGTTTTATTTGTCACTTTTTTCTCTCCGTAAGCAAATGTCAGTAACAGAAGATCGCATCCAAAACGCCTTGTTTTGCTTTTGCACTCCTTTCAAAATTTAGATCATTCGCTACAATTTGATCAACGATTTTGGTTATCGTTACCAAACTTTTACTAAAGAAATCTGTAGCAAGTTCTTTGGGTTCTTCATTTTCAGAATCTCTATTTTCAAGTTCTACATGAATTTCTTGTTCTGCCAGTTTTTGAAGTCATCGTTGGTATGGCTCTTACCAGAAACCTGCAGTATTCCCCCAATATCCTGCTCGTCTATGTTACATCTTCTGTATCGATTAAGTTGACAATTTGGTCAACATAACAATACAGTGATAGGCTCTTCTCGTTGAGAATTCTGGATACCTTCAGTCATAACTTCTTCCACACTCTGTTCATGCATTTATCAGTTAATTCTTGCCAAGCCAAGTCACTATTTCCTATGGCATCAACGATGTTATGTTTTTTCCAAAATTGCACAAAACAAACATAGATTTAAGGAAAGTACAGTGCTATGATGAATTGCCACCTTTTGCTGATTGGTTTGTGTTTGGGAATACAGTAGACCCCTATAAAATGGGTTCATATAGTTTGGATTCCTATATGACGGCAAAAAAATTGCGACTGTATTCGTATAAACACACTAAAAGAGACTCGTATAATTCAATAAAATGTCATCGCCGACCCGTGTAATGACAGGATTGGTCGAATTTAGACCAATAGCATATATTGCACAAACCATTGAGTTTAAACGAGCAGCAGACCTACTAAAAACCATTTATTATTTAACATCCATAAAAATTATATTTATATTAATGATGTCTCCAAAGTTCAACGAATTTTTCCCAGAAAAATAACTTATCAGAAAACGCGCCTGCCGTTGGTGCGCTGCTCCACAACGAAAACAAGCTTAAGCAATGGCGTTGTCGAACAGTGCACACTCGGTAAGTAAACTTACAATTTTTTGTTTATAGCATAGTTTATATGGATTATTCCCAAAAAATTATACATATTTTGGAAATGTTGAGTCAAATTAGTCTAGAATCAATTAATTTTATGGAAGAAAACCTTTCAAACAGTTGAAGTCCGTAAACTGCATACATGTTGGGCTGTGATTGACTCATGTATTTAAGGACTCTTATAAAATGGATTTCATAAAAACCAGAACATATCTACTGTGTTATAGGGGGTCAACTGTAATTGTATTATATATGAATCAATAAAATACTGCATTAATTTGAATCAGCGTAAATTTTGAGCATTTTTTTGTGTGTCAAGCAGACCGAGTTATATTGAATCAGTGTTAAGTGGGGTCTTACTATATTTGATTGTTTTCTAAGCACTAAAATGTATAAATTGTTGTTATGTTTGTTCATAAAAAAAAATAATAAAATATCTTCAAGTAAGAAAACAACACTAAAATAAATTTTTACCTAATGTTTTCTAAGCTGTAATACAATGACAAAATAAAAGTTGGTATCTTATTGGAAAATATAAAATTCTGATTTCACAAAACAGTGATTTTAAAGTTAGCCTATTTTGTGAATTTGGCAGAAAATTTGTCTAATTCATGAAATGGCAGTTGATGTGCCAATTTCACAAATTACTCAAAATTTTTATTCTTGTACAAAATGAGTAACATTCCTGAATTTGGCATAAAATATGCAAAATAAACATATTTTTTGATTGAATATTTGTTATAAAATAACAATGATTTAATTTATGAAATCATAATTTGAAAATTTCTGTTTATATGATAAACAGTAAAAACTGCTTAGGCGACCACCTGCATTTGATGGGCACCTGTCAAAACGGGTAAAAATTTCTGGCACAGAATAATTTGTACATAGTCTTCATATAAGTTACCCATATTAAACGACTATCTGTGTAACATGACCACGGGCATCAATTTTTGGTTGGAAACAACATAGTAAGCGACCACTTCTGTGAATATATCTGGTCTAAACTAATGTTTGAACCCATCTCAACATTTCCCCCTCCTAATATAATGAATTAGTCTAAACTCTTGTTTGAACCCATCTCGGGCACTTCTCCCACCCTTGAAATTAGGTGTAGGTGTTAATGAATTAGTCTAGCAACAAAGGAAATTCATTTCAGTTTGTTCGAAATTGTCCAAAAAACAAAAGAAATGGGAAGCGCTGTCCTTAGAAGATCATGTTAAAGTTATCAGAGAAAGTGAAAATGGTTTCTTACAGCGGCAATTAACAGCAAAGTTTAACTGTGGGAAAATGCAATTTATTTTACTGTACACCTACAGTATTTTCCTTATGGGTATAAAATATTGTACATGATACAATTAATCAGCTGATCTCATCGTTTAATAAAATTTATTTTATATTTTTTGAAGCTCATATACAGTACATGTGCAATAAATATTTATAGTCTCTGTATCAGCCCACCTTATTTCCACAATATTTTTAGAAAAACAATATTCAAGTAATTTTTGCATGCAAAATATTCAAAAAACAATACACACATTAACACAAAATCAGTTTTACAGGCAACCTTCCTTTTTTGATTCTGCGATTATCATTGATGTAATGAAATTGTATTATGGGAAGAAATATTGGGTTGTTCGGAAAGTAAGTTCGTTTTTTCCGTGGAAAAAAGACAATATTTTTATTATAAATAAATATTTTATTGAATTATATATCAACCATTTTGGTCAAATACCTGTTGTCATTGTTTCTGGTAGTAGCATTATTTCACATTCATAAAAGTTTTGATCGTTGCTTACAAAAAATTGATCCAAGTGATTTTTGACATTCATTTCAAGTAAATGTCTTACAGTTAAAAAAAATTTGTATAGCCCGGAACAAGTAATAATCCGAGTGTGCTCGATCTGGCTAATATGGTTGGTGTGATAGTATGTCCCATCTAAGTTATAACAGTTTCTGACGAGTTATCAAACTTGTGTGAAATTTGACATTATTGTGGTAAAACACTACACCTGTTTTTTTTTATCAATTCTGGTCGCTTTTCTATTTGATGATATTACCCAATTTGTTTACTCGATGGCAGTACACTTTCGAATCAATTGTTAAATTGTCTGGTAATAGCTCCAAAAAAAAAATTTTTCAATATTGAAATTGCCAGAATGAAATTTTGTAAACCGGTTTTGGCACTGTCTTTCTCTCATCACATCATCTCCATACATGTACCATAATTTTTTTCTTGCTTGAACAGCATTTTGATTTTTTGGTAATAAAAAAGCAAAATATGCTGAAAATGATGCTTTCGATCTTTCGTATTTGATGGGACACAAAAAATAAACAATTGCACATAATCAAACAAAATTTTTTACAAATAAGTCTTAAAATGCTAGCTGTCAAAATATATAATGATAATACAGTTTAGAATGAAAATGGCGGGAAAAATACAACTAATTTGTCTAGTGGTAAAAAAAAAAACGAACTTACTTTCCGAACTACCTAATAATAAAATTGTTTTATTATTAATTAATAATTTTTTATTGTACTTAAGAAAATATTAAAAAAAAAACCAGTATTTTTAAAGTTAAAATAAGATTAAACTAACAAAAACCAAAACCGAAGTGGTGGAGAGATACCACGATCTTCTGTATCGATGACATAATACATGTAATTCAGGAATGAACAAAGAGAACTAAGTTGAATTAATTAAGTCAGAATAAAAAAGCGTGCATTATAATCAAGAAAATGTAAATACTGTATTAATCTTTAAAATACTGGTATTAAATCTGTCTTATAAAATCATGATGACTTTTGTTACATTAAAATACATTACCAATGTAGCTCTATTGTTGAAAAATTCTCTTACTTTTTTTTATTTTTGCTCACCTCGAGTTTTGCTTAGTATATATGGCTTTTAGCCATAACTACGCGCAAAATACATGCAGAAATACGGTATTACAGCACCATTGTCTAAAAGACCACTTTTCGAAGGAACTATGGGTGGTTGCCATAGACAGGTTTACTGTATATCAAATATAATAAATAGAAACATGATCATAATTTCTCATCATACTTAGCCAAGATATTAATTTAAATACAGGTATGCTCCATTTAACAATGGACCACTTATGCTGTATTATGGCGGTTCCATAAGATTATGATGGAGCTGAAAAATTTGTAGTTGCTGTAACAGCATATTAATCATGGTGCCCTGGAAAACCAGGAATTAGTCTGGAATTTTGAGCATTGGAAAATAGCTTAAAATTTCATTTTTGACTGATTTACTGATGGGTAGTACAAGTTCGTGAACTTTCTGGATTGCGATGAGACTTTGTCATTACAGCTATGTTGTTGGTAGGAAAAATTCTAAAATTGATACTTTTTGCTTTGCTTGAGGCAGGAGGCTCCAATTAACTACATATGAACTTTTGGTTTGCACTGAAAATTACATTATTTCAATTCAAAAATTTTCTGCTAAAAGGAGTTAATCAATGACAGGCACAACTCGATTGCTGACAGGAAAGGTATGATGTACAGGGGCAAGACACTAATAATTTGAGATATAGAACATATATTTTAAATTAAAATTGTAGTTCTAATAGTTTTAGAATTATTACTGAAAATGTTATACTTAGTATTTACAAAAGTAGAGGTACTGTGAAGACCCAAACGTGGTCCGAAAGGAGGCCATTAATGACTTTTTGAATGAGTCAAGTTTCGTAGTGCGAAAGAGAGAACTTAAAGATCGGATTTAAACAATGAACCTTTTGTCTTGTTAAAATATTTTAAACAATAGATAGAGTAAAGTCGAGGAAAACAAGGTTGGAGAGGAGTCGTGTTCCGACGCGACGTTGACCTCTCCCGCGCCCTTTGGTGGGGTTTCGAATTGTCACCAGGTGACAAGGAGAGACCAATGGAAAGGCGGCTGAGGTTGAGGAATCTATAAAACAGTGTGATTCAAGTTACAAACGTTCTTGGTTCATAGTCTTACCCTCCTGGACGTCCCCCCCTCGCAGAATCTCAGAAAGAACGTTTCAGATTGAGTGGGAGCAAACTCATCTGCCGTGCCACCGGACGACCTCCAGGCTAGTCAGTTTGCCCAAGAAAGACCACCGAAAGCAGTGCCATTCGTCCCAGGGCCGACAATTATTAGTTCGTCATCGCCGAACTGAAGGAAACGGGAAAACGAACTTTTCGAACTCTATTGAACTTTATCCTCGGGCTCCGTGGTGTGATAATCTGTCACTCAAGAAAAGATTGTAAGAAATTATAATTTTATTAAGCGGTTTTACATGGGAAACCTGTCTCGGTGAGTCATTCCGTGCCCACATGACAGAAATGACCGCTTGGCTGTCGAAAACACCTTACCCCTAATCGGCTGACCTCACAGTATTATAAAATTAACAATTTTTTAATGTGCACTTTAAAAGGTATTATTTCATGAATGTTGAGAGATTGAAAATAATTAAAATGTCAATTAAAACATGCATAAACTAATAGATAGAATTGCTATATTTGTCTATTATTATTTGACTTTGTAAAAATTATAGCTTATGCGAGATTCTTGTAGCATATTTCAAGGTGGATGTAATTAGATGGTCTATTTTGGTAGTTGCTTATCATGTACCGGTACCTAAGAGCTTTTAAAATTATTACATATTTGGGATGATTTTATTATTAAACTTGTATTTGTTTAATTTTTTATATAATCTTACAGCTGTTTGCTTTGGGGTGGTAGAACTATCTCCTAAACAGTTGAAAATCAATCTGTACACATGGCATCATACCTAATATTACACTTTATCTATACTGTCCAATATCTGCATGAAAGGTTTTGTAATTATTACAGAACACTTGAAAAGAAAAACATGAAGCATTCTAACATGAAAAAAAAACACCCTGTAATTATTAAAGAAATTTTCTACACTAAATAAGTATTAATAATTATTTTGAATGGATGTATGAATTTTATAATTGTAAAGGCTTGTCTTGTGAATTAAGTAAAAGTTAAAAATAAACCAGATAAAGCTGGGAAATTTTTTGTGGATCTGAGTGGGCATTCTGTTAATGTATAAACAAACTTGGTGCAGCCAATTATGCAAAAGTACATAAGGTGTGTGCAAAGAGCTTATGGAATGAACTATTCTCAGAAAATTTCTGAACAGCAAATACTATAACTTATTACATTATTTCTAATGCATTATGAATATAATTTTACATTAGTGTTAAACATCAAAATATGAAATATCATATTTTACTGTATTTTTTCTGGTTAGGTGTATTTAAATATATAAATACTTATCATTTTTTTGTAATTGTTACATATGGCCTATATGAATAGTAGCCTCTTATAGGTTTATCTAACTACAATCTGAAATGATCACTTCATGAAGTATTTCTTGGAAAGTATTCCTATTGTTAATAAGTGATAAGTGACGCAAGCAGTTAAAATTAAACAATTCAAAACAAAAATTTTTGCAATTGTAATATAGCAATAATTTTCATAATGAACAAATAAAATACTCTCTACAATCTTAAATAATCAACTTACTGTTAAAAGTAAATGAGTATATAAGTATTCAATACAAATATAAATTAGTGTTTTCTTGGACTGACAATACGGTAGAAAATTTTTTCTCTTTATTGTACACATGTATTATGATCTAGAATCTGAAGATACAGTTTAAAATAAATTAAAATGCTAGTTCAATATAAAAATTGCTGTTGAATATAAGCTTTATTTCATTCAATTGTTCATTCAATTTATTTGGTTTTTCACAGACAAATTTTATTTCCTCAGTTTCATTTTATTGTACTCTAAAGAAACAATGGTGTTATTTTTAATTTATTAAAGAAAATGAGATTACTACTGATATAAAATTTATTTTAAAATTATTTTAAATACTAAAAAATTGCAGAGGTTGTTTGTTAAAATTGAACTAATCAAGTGATTATAAAATTTTAACTCCAGGTAGGTAATCCAGTTACATTTAACCCAGTTATAACCTGAAGAAATTTTGATGTTTAGCATTTAAAGACTATTATATTGAATCAAATGAACCGTTGGTCTGTATATTTGAATGGGATTTTAAAATATATAAATGTTTTGATAATTGAATAATGAAAATATTTCATTCAATGTCAGCCAAATATTTAATAATCAGCTAATTAATTAATTATTGCACTTTTATTATTAATATTAATATGTTATAGATACATCCATCCCTAGAATATATATTTTTTTATCACTGAAATATAATACTGTAATACTAATTAGAATAGCACAGAAAAAGATAATTATTTTTATGATAAATATAAGTAAGGTATAATGACAGTTATTTTGAGATAAAATATGATATATTGATAGAATTTATTTAAAAATTAAATGAAACTTATATGAAAATTTTAAGTTACTTTAGATTCTCTTATAGTTTTGTACAGTAAATTATATACAGTGTCTTGGATGTTTTTAACAAAATTTACATTAATTCATAAATTCTTTTTGTTTTTTTTTTTTCGTTTAAGATATGTGAAGAGCCGCAGTATGACTGGCCCTCTGCCTCCAAATTATACTTGTTATAGATGTGGAAAACCTGGACACTGGATTAAAAACTGTCCAACAAATAATGTAAAATAATTTTTAATATTGTGTTAATAATTCCTGAATATTAAAAAATTATACAGTAGAACCTCGATTATCCGGACTAATTGGGGATGAAGGTTGTCCGGATAAGGAAAAATTCGGATAATCGAAAGAAATACTTTAATTTGTCTTTTAATGATAATACAACACATATTCTTTTCGATGACTTATCGGTAATATTAAAAATAAATACTGTATTTAAATCGTGATCAACTTTTCAAGAAACAAACGTTCGTATTGAATTTGGACTACTACTGACCAACGCTAACAGACTACCTATTGTTTAAAAGGCCCTCTGGTGGCGCAAGAAGACGGATTTTATAAAATAAAAAGCAGTTGAAACTGCATTTTTATGAATAAAAATTTGACAAACTATTTATCGTTTTATGACGAGTAAAATTTTTTCGTCGCGTTCGCGGCTTTTAAGTAATGCATAAACCTTCGAGGCGCGAGGCCCTTCGGACCGCGAGGCATAGGCGGTGGCCCACGTCGTCCATGCCTTACGCCGCCCTTGGTCATAGAAATGATGTAATTTGAATATAAATTATTTATAAATACGTATGTCAAGTTATATTTTTATTACTACGTAAAATATATTTAAGAGTTTACGACCACTGTGCTGGGTGAGACGTTGTTGAAACAAAAAAAGTTATGCATTCCATCACGTACATAAACAGTGTCGTAATTCGCCAAGTGCAAATCAGCAAATTCGTAAAATTTTTGTTTCTTTTGAACAATCCGGATAATTGAAAATCCGGATAATGGAGGTTCTACTGTATATATATTTTTTCTTTTTTAGTTTAATAACTTGAAATAACTACTACATAATGATTTAAGATCTTTATTTGAATGCATTTGTTAATAAATATTTGATAAATTTTTAAATATTTAAAAAAATTCATATCTTAAGTGTAGATTTAACATATATATATATTTTTTTTATTTAGTAGTACAAGGAAACCCTATATGTATGGGCATACCAAAAACAAAAAAAAAACATTTCAATCACCAATATCAATTTTAATACAGAATAAAATAATGGAAACAATACAGCATATAATAATAAGTCTGTTAAAAAAAAAAAAAGGATAACAATAGCAAATAAAACAACAACAATTAATATAATTACAGTTTAACCTGCTTATGACATCATTCATGAGACCGGCAATTTTTTGATGTTACCGAGGGTTATAATTTCAGTCCCATAAAAGTATCAAGTATGTTTAAGAATCTGTTATAAAATTCATCTAATTTAATATCGTATGTATAAAAGTGCAAACATAATGTTTAAATCAACTTTATTTACATTATTATGTCTAAATTTACAATGATGTAATTAAAAATTTCAAAAATTATTTTTTATAAGAAATTTTTATTTGTCTCAAGTTTCAATAATGGTGACACTTTTGGTTTTGAGAATAATGTCTAATCAAAAGGCAACAAAAAGTTAAATTAAGCAAGAAACAAGAAAATTATCGTCCAGGCGTTATTAATGCCTGGACGATAATTTTCTTGTTTCTTGCTTATCTGTCAATCAGCATTAAGTCCAATATCTTTCACTTTTAGGTTAAATTAGTGTATACCAATTAAAAAGAAACAATAAAAATATTCACTTAAAAAAAGTCAGTTATTTTAGATTGTAGGCGTTTTTCACCTAAAAATTGTTTATCAATGTCATTTTATAAGTCGTAGATTTTGTTCATTATTTCCGATGAAGTTTTACGAGACCTGTAAAACATTTTCAATAATCTTATTGAATTACTCGCTTCCCTGGTTGACGGCACTGCAGTTTCTCTGTTTGATATTTCTTCTTCATTATCATCATCATTCACATTTTTTTCATCTGAACATTTAATTTGCTCAATAATATCTGCATCTGTATAAAATTCAGATGTTATTAAATTTTCATCTACACTCTTATATTCAGTAGCAGCAAATGACAAAAATTTGCCGTTTTCTGAACTCTGAAGTGTTTTAATTAATTTTGATAGAGGAATGTTGTCGTCCTCATTATTGTCATCTTTCGTAAATGTAATAGCTGTTTGACTATTACACAATTTTGCATGGCAAAAACAGTTTGCTATTATTAGTGAACTAACCTTACACCAAGATTTTTCCAAAAAATCAACTGCATCTAATAAAGAAATTGCCATTTTATTTTTATCTTCCATGTTTGTTATAATTTTTTGTAAAAGAATTTTTCTGAAATGAGATTTAAGGCTTCTTATAATTTCTTGATCCATTGGTTGAAGTATGCTAGTACAATTCGGAGGAAGGAGTAAAGTTTGATGTTCTTTAAATTTTCTAAAATTGTATGTGCTGGGCAATTATCAACAAGGAGTAAAACTTTTTTTCGTTTACCAATAAGTTCTCTATCCCATTTTCAAATTTCTTCTTCAAAAATCTCAGACATCATCCATGACTTTTTGTTTGCTTTGTAATTTACTGGTAGTGTTTTTATGTTTTTAAAACATCTTGGATTCTTTGATTTTCCTATTTCAAGAAGTTTTCTTTTGTCTGTACCAGTCATATTAGCGCAAACAAAAGCTGTTATCCTATCTTTTGCAAGTTTCCCATCAACACACTTTTCGTTTTTAAATTTAATGTTTTATCCGGTAAAAGTTTGTAAAATATCCCGGTTTCATCTGCATTATAAATGTCTTCATCTACATATTCTCCTCTTAATTTAGGCCATACATCTCTTAACCAGTTTTCAACGTCCAGTAAATTTACACTTTTTGCTTCTCCACACACTTTCCCAAAACTTACGTTATGTCTTTGTTTAAAACGGTCTAGCCATCCATTAGAACATTTAAAGTTAGTATCATTTAGTAGTCGTCCAAATTCTTCTGCTTTTTCCATTAGTATCGGTTCATTTAGTGGTAAGTTGGAACTTCTGCATTGGTTAAACCACTTAATTAGAGCATCATCAATATTTGCTTTTTTACATAACTTAATTTTTTTCATTTATCCCTTGCAATCTTGAAAACTTTTCAAAATTTTCTCTCTGTTTTTTTATTATTGTGCACACTGTAGAATTTGCTAAACCAAAGTCTCTGCGTACATCTGCCTTTTTTCCTCCACTTTCAACTGCTTATTTCTGCTTTGCAGTCTAACGTTAACGCTTTCCTTTTTAAGCTAGCCATTTTACCTGATTTGATGTTTAAACTACAACACCAGTATGAGAGCTATGTGGACTAACCCACTATCACATCATTTAAAGGGGTGGCAAATCTCACCCCACCGAAGTCAGGTGGTGACAGTACCACCCACAGTCGTTCTAGGAAGTGGACTCTGACCCTAGGACTGAACATGTAGTATTTTCTTTGTTAAATAAAATTTGTAATCTAATTTTGTAAATTTGAGAGTGCTTCAAATATGACGTTAAAACAGGGTTTTATGTCGTTACAAGTGCATTTTTTAACATTATCTAGTATAGTATTGTGAGACCGATAAAAATTTGACATTATATTAGGATTGTCATTACATCCGATGATATTATAATCAGGTTAAACTGTATAATCATAACAAAAGAAAGAAATAAATAAAAAATATATATGCAAAAAGTGGCAGCAAATAGTTATGCAAACTAAAATTCTAAAAAATTTATTATATATGAAATTAAACAATTAAATTACCTGAAAAATTAAATGAATTGTTAAAATATGACCAAAAATGCTGCCAACTCTCAAACATTGAAACAACCACTAATATACTATACTAGCAGACCCCACCACGCGTTGTTGTGGCTCAAAATGTATCTATTATAAATTTATAACACTTCCCCGTGGGGGGAATTTTTCGAAAAATTTCTTCTTAGTGTACATTCTGTTGACATACCCTATTAAAACGCAAAAAAACCACATCTAAAATAGTATAAATAGAAGCAGAGTTCTTTACGGTAAGCCTTAATCCTAACCATCTCCCTTCAGTGGGGGGAATTTCGACACGTATATTATATAAAAACACGTGCGTATTCGAATGCAGCGTTGTGTCAAAATTTCAAAGGAATCGGTAGGAACAAACGAACATTACATTTTTATTTATATAGATAGATAGAAGATGATCTGCTTTAGTTCATTTTCACAGAAAAGCATAATGCCTCACAGAAAAGCAAACTTAGGGCGTCGTACTCGTAGCGCCATCTGTTGGACATAAAAGCCTTAACCTAGATTATATATTTTAATTTATATGAATGTTTAACGGAATAATATACAGCCTATGTCCACCCTGAGGTTCCATTCTAAATATTGGTGAAAGAATTTTTGAAATCGGATGAGTAGTTTCGGAGATTACCTGCTACATACATACATACATACATACATACATACATACATACATACATAACCTCTTTATAATAGTATAGATCTACATCTCCTTGTGGAAAAAATATATTTCTTAAACTAAACAAATTTATTCCTATTAACTATTTATATTAGCAATAAAATTATAAATACATCATATTTACATTATAGTCATATTTATTATAATCGCACCACAATTGTTTATATGCTTGAATCGACAAATAATCTAAACCAAAACACTTTTGTCTGACAGATGTCAGAGCCTTACATTCAGTTACTAAATGAAAAGCGTCAAAATTAATAATTAGAATAACAAAATTCACAATAATCTAAACACAGAGCCATCATTCTTTTAAACATATTGCATCACACATGTATCACAGTTTGTATAATGCAAAATGGTCTCTCTATATTCAAATAAGTCACCTTCTCCCATTCATTAAAAATACCCAAATACTATATTTATAATTAGAAATTCTGTTTGAACTTATTTAAATATTTATTTGCTAATTTTGATAGCTAAAATTTTGCAACAAGGACACAATTTGATCTCCCCATGCTACTCTTTGGGAAATTAAATATAATTTAGCAGAAGAAGTAAGTTTACTAACTGTCTGCTTACATAACCACCTTAAATTATTATTTTTATTATATTAAAATAAAGAGGGACCCTTTGGAACT